AACATGTACAGTATATATGTATGTATATATATATATATATATATATATATATATATAGAATGGTTATAGTCAAAGAAAGGTAATTTCAGAGTTTGAATTAATAATATAATAATAGCTCTCAACGAATGTTGTCCTTTAAATCAGTACATTGTGTAATAAAATGCCTCCGATGAGATTCGAACCTGCGACATCTCGCTGTTAAGGCGAGCGTCATAACCATTAGACCACAGAGGCTTCACGGTTGAGCAGACTCAAGTAACCGTCAGCTACATTGTATTACACAATGATGGTGCACCTCGAAAAATATGAAGTTCCAAAATTCACCTTATTTTTCCAGCCGTGTTTCTCGTTGTTCACTGATGATCCAGGTATAATGAGTAGCATCTGGAAACACATGTATGTTTTGCACAACATGTTACAATACTAAGAAAAATATGTGTAATCAGGATGGTGATGTATGGTTGGTGTAGGTAATGCTTATACTGTATACAAACATTTATTGTATTCAAATTCATACACTTTTACAAAACAAATTTTCTTGGTTTTGATAGGGAGGAATGGTTATAGTTCTGCAGTTTGGTGAACCAAGTGAGATGCCGAAGCCTCCACTAGATTTCCCAAGGTGCGAGGGTTGGGAACCAAAGTGATCGCTGACAATAAAAGCAAAGTACGGTTTGCAAACAATTTCAAAAAGGATTATGGAAAATGAGAAAGTTGTAAAGAAAGTTTGCTGTTTGGTACTGTATATTCTTGTGCCTGAAATTAAAATGCTCAGCGTGGATAATACTTGGTAGTTTCCAAACACCTGAAGACACAAGACAATTATAGTAAAAGGAATATGTACAATGACCCTTTACACTACCTAATGTTGCTAATTTTTTGTACTAAGAAACATAGCATAAACATACGTAAACCTGTGTGTTTGTAAGCGCAAAATTCTGAATACCTTATAAGTCCTTCTGATTGGTCAGTTGTTAAGTTAAATTGAAAATTCGGAAAAGTCCTTCATCTGCTATTTCTAAGAAAATGTATTATCATCTTAAATTGAGTAAATGTGCTTCTTCATACGAAAGTTACCATCATGTATCGTAACATTTTATTAGTACGAATCATAAAGAGATCTTAGACTTCAATGTAGTCTATAAAAACTGCTCCCATTAACTAATTATTGCGGGTATCAAACGCCATACCTCACACAAAAGACATTTATAATTTGCTGGTATATAATATAAATTAAGCCTTTAGAAAAAAAAAATAAAAAAGGCTGATAAAATACATTTTATGACTATACTAAAATAAATAAAATTCTCAGTTGCTTTTTGGTGACCCTTATAATGTAAAAGAAAAAGAGTTATCACGCCTCTTATTACAACTAATTGTAATTGAAAGTGCGAATATCCACCCACCCACACCAATGGTATGTGAATATCTGAACGTTGAATAGATTCAAAATATACAGTCCATGCTTGGGACTGTCCGTTCAACAAATAAAAAGACCCTCAAAAAAGTGTGTGCATGTTGATAGGCCCTGCATGAATTTAGTCTAATATTTCTGTGAATGACGTCACCAGTTTATACGATACACTTACTAAATCTCTGATGTACTTACCCAAATAGGCCTAATTATAAATAAAGCGAGCTGCAGGGAAAAAAAATCATCATAATTATTGATTTTCATATTACCGGTATGTTGTATGCTTTTCGTATATAACGTCATACCGCACACAAAGGAAATTTATAATTTGCTGGCATATTATATAAATTAAATCTTTAGGGAAAAGACTGATAAAACACATTTTATAAGTATACTAAAATAAATAAAATTCTCAGTTGCTTTTTGGTAGCGCTTTATAATGTAAAAGAAAAAGAGTAATCACGCCTCTTAATTCAACTAATTGTTATTCAAAGTGCAAATATCCATCTACCTACACCAATGGTATGTGAACATACTGAAGTTAAATGTTAAATAGATTCAAATATGCAGTTCATGCTTGGGACTGTCCAAAGACCCTCAAAACGTGTGTGTATGTTGATATTCCACTACTGCATGAATTTTAAGTCTAATATTTCTGTGAATGACGTCACCGGTTTATTCGATAGGCCTACACTTATTAAATCTGGGATGTACTTATACTCAAATTATAAATAAAGCGAGCTGCAGCAAAAAATCATCATCATTATTGACCATTTTTCATCGGGTATGTTGCATGTCTTTCGTCTGTCGTAGAAAAATGAATTTGCTGCCACCTAGAGTTACACAATCGAATTACCGGCTCCAAGAAAATAATAATAATAATAAGATCTTTCTTTTACAACGGAAGCTCGTTCACCAAGGAGGTGCTCTTCCACGAGGCCGTATATGTACCTTTAACATATGGTATCAGATCATGAAATCAAACAAGAACTACTTACAAATACAAATAATGTATAAGGAAGAAACAAAGATACTACCAAAAAAAAAACTGTACACTTAAAAAATTATGTTGAAATTAACTTTTTTTAAATTTTAAGAGTGGTACTATTTTTTGTGGTCTCATCAATATTGTTCCACAAGTCAGCACCACGATATGCCAAACTCCTTTTTTTATACTCTGTATTAGGTTTATCTATGTACAGGTTATTTGTAGATCTAGTATTATATGCTGATTGCCTTTGTGAAAATTTAATTCTTAAATAATTTGAAGTCATTCATTATTTTGTACATTACTTTTTCATTGAAAGTAAGTCTATCTTCAAGGTTGGACCATTTAAGTTCTTCCAGTGCCTGTGTACTAGAATAATATTTTCGTTTATTTGTTATTATTTTAGCAGCTCTGTTCTGTAATACTTGTAATTTTTTGTTACATCTACCCCACACAACATTGCAGTCATCAAAGTAAGGGGCTACTATTGCATTGCAACACTGATTGCATAGGGATTGGGAGCAAGTAGCTTGATTTCTTTAGGTAGAACAAGCCTGGAAGAACTTTGGTCCTAATATGATCTACATGTTTATTCCATGATAGAGTTTCATCAACTATTACACCTAAACGAGAAAGAGATTTTCTTGGTGGGCCAGTTTTCGAACGAGGTAGCGAATTTGTTTTTTAGTGTTTCAACCCATACGAGGATATTATTATTATTAACCCACATCTTGGTACCTGTTTAAACTGAAAATGTCATATTATATAAAATATTATACTTCATCTGTAAATTTATAGGATGCGCTCGCTTCGATCGCTTACACTCTAGTATGTTAAACATCGCAATTACTTTTGATGAAACATCGCGATTGGTTTTGATGAAATAGAACAAAAAATTCATGACCATTAGAGAAGATAGACCTAATTACAAACGGAAATACGGTACACACAAATTCTATGGAAATATATCACTGGGCCTAGACCCCTAACGTCCAGGTTACCGTATTTCACCTAGACAACTCATGGATAAAATTAATTGTTATTAAAATTAATGTGGTGGTCGAACGTTATGCATTTACTGTGCCCATGCTTAATTTTGTAGTCATATTTGTGTTGAAATATTGTAGAAAACACTTTTATTTGTAAGAACACTGAGGTTGAAATTGCCTAAAAATTAAGAACAAAATAAAAACAAATCGTGGCTGAGGCAAAATGTCAACTGAGGTTTGTTTTTTGTTTTTGTTTTTTTTTTTTAATGGAAAAAAACAACACATTTATCAGCTGTACCTTATGTGCGGTAGGTGTGATGTAATACTATACAATGCCCACTTTATTACAGTACAGTAATATACTGCTGTAAAATAATAATTTTCGACGTTTGAAAAGTGTGTAAAGATAAGGACAAAATAAGTTTAAGCTTGAAATAGGCAAAAAAAAAAAAAAAAAAAAAAAAAATACTGGTCCTTATAAAAACAAATGTGTATATGTTTAAGTAGGATGAAGTAAGGCGATTAGTTAATAGGGCTTCTAATTACTGTAAATTTCTCTTAGAAATTCAATATTTGTGACATGTTGAAAATATAGGAAACAGGAAGCATTTGTTAATATGCGGCAAATATGATATATACTCTAGGGTATCTAGAGATCAAAGGTCTGAGCCTCGTTGTCAAAAAGTGATGAATTAGGAGAGAGATAACTAACCACATTGAAAAGTTCAACTGATGACTCAATATAGGCCACGCTATTCAGTAATTAAACGACAGTAAAGTCATTATTTTATATATCCCTAAATTAAGCTGAAATATTGGATTATATTCACTTCTTGAGCACGAGACTTTGATGATCTGTATTGTTACAGTTTTTCAGACAGTAAGTTTGGCATCTCCGACGTTATCTGACGCAATGGTTTACGGTACATCACTGTGCATTTAGGCTTTGAAATAACCACAATTATAATGTAGATAAACTTTGCTACTATTGGACTGGACGCGATGAGTGTCAAATCGTGTTTAACACAATTATTAACACAATTATTATTAGCTTGTTGATTAAGTTATGTTTCACCTCCCATTTATTTACTGTATATTATTGCTATAATTTCTTATTTGAACCAATTGAAATAAAATTGAATTGAAACTGAGGTTTACTGTTTGCACTTGTTTGTAAATTCAAGCATAACTGAAAGCCAGAGACCTGAGGAAAAACATGTTTTTTCTGAGACACAAAAATATTCGTTGACGAAGTGATTGATGAGATACAGACTTTTTAATATTTAATATGATCTGTTGCAAAATCTGCAGTGAAGAGATTGGAAGGATTTAAAATGTTGGTCTACGGACGAATTTTAAAAATATCATGGAGAGACAAGATAGCAAATAAAGAAAACAGAAAGATTGCTAATCACATCAATAAAACATAGGAAACTTGAATACTTTGGACACGTGATTAGAAAGGATAATCTACAAAGAGAAGTCAGGGCCGGCGGAACGTTTTTCAAAGTGGTGGGGCCCACTTATAAGCAGGCGCGTAACAGGGGTCTTGGGTCGGGGGGGGGGTGGCGGCAAAGGTAATAATTTTCGCGGTTAGTCGGTTAGTAATTTATAATGATGTGATACGCACCCCCCCCCACCCCACATAGAAAACAATACGACATAGGGCTTATTTTATTATTACACACGTGTGTTTGAAACTAAATTTTCATGGTGGTTTTATTTATTACAATCAGGCCTATTCTTTCACCATCATTACACATTGAGGCCCTTCTTTTAGGTAAAACGATTTTTCTTAAATTTTCTTTCTCAAGTTTGGGACTATTATGTTTTTAAATAACTTAGAAGGCAAAAGAGGGCAAGCACAAGCCTTAACCCTAACAAATGCGCGCGAAAAATTTTTGTGTTGTTAATTCTAATTTCGTCGCAATTGATCAAAACTCCCTAAATGTGCAATTTTTAGAGGAAATTGGCCTACCTGAACAAGGAATGCTCTTATGTTATATATGGCCACACTCGTTCTTTTAAACTGAATATAAGCATTTTCCTTATGGCTTTATTTATTACAAACATTTATTCTTTCAACATCATTACACATCGAGGCCCTTCTTTTAGGTAAAACGATCTATCTTAATTTTAATTTCTTGAGTTTTGGGACAATGTGTTATAACTTAGAAGGCAAAGGAGAGGAAGCACAAGCTTTAACATTAAAAAATGCGCGCGAAAAATTTTTGTTTTTTTAATTCTAATTTCGTCGGAATTGATCAAAACTCCCTAAAATGTGCAATTTTTAGAGGAACTTGGCCTACCTCAACAAGAAATGCTCTTATGTTATATATGGCCACACTCGTTTTTTTGAACTGAATATAAGTATTTTCCTTATGGATTTATTTATTACAAACATATTCTTTCAACATCATTACACATTGAGGCCCTTCTTTTATAAACGATCTATCCTTAAATTTTCTTTCTTGAGTTTGGGACTATGTGTTATAATTTATAAGGGAAAGGAGAGCAAGCACAAGCTTTAACATTAAAAAATGCGAAATGCGAAAAATGTTGTTTTCTAATTTCGTCGGAATTGATCAAAACTCCCTAAAATGTGCAATTTTTAGAGGAAATTGGCCTACCTCAACAAAATATTGGATTTAAAATTTGAGATTTTCAGGCACTTTCCCGGGTGAAAAGGGCATTCAATGGGGAAAGATTTTCCACAGATGGATTTTCCCCTTGTTCCCCGGTGGTTACACGTCTGCGGAGAATACCTGGCGGCTTAGATCAAATGCGATATGGACACTTTTTGAAGTGGAGAAGGGGTTGCAGGCCGGGGTATTGTGATATCTGTTCATTATATCTTCCTTTTTATTCTTGTCTTTATTTTTCTCTTCTCTTTTTCTTTTCCTTTTTCCTTTCTTTTTCTTTCCCCTTCTTTCTCTTTCCCTCCTTCTCTCCTCTTTTTCTTCTCTTCTTACCCAGCCCGGTACGACGGCTTGGTCAGCCCGGTACAAACCGTCGGGGGGGGGGGCAGTCTTACGCCACTGCTTATAAGATGAATGGGAATATGAATCATGCAGATCTGGAATCAAATCTAGGTGGTGGGGTCAACATTCCTCCCCCGGGAAAATTTTGATTTTTAGATGGCGGGAAATGACCTTTCTCGACTTTTGAGCTAGGTGTCTAATTACTTTGTTCTTCAAAATTCAAGGTTTTCCCCCTCATGAAAACGGTAAGGTTAACTTTCTTAGCAGTCATACAAAAATCTCCAGACATTATATATTTTTCGCCAAAAAGTGGGGGGAGGGGGCCCGGCCCCCCCCCCCCCGCTTCCGCCGGCCATGTAAGTTACTAGAAGGAAAACTGAATGGAAAACGTGACAGAGGGAGACCAATGTTGGAATGGGTAGGCAGCATCAAGGAGAGTATTGGACTACAAGGAATGTGTGAGGCGAGCTCAGCAGAGAGAAAATTGGAGGTCCATAATAGCCAACCTGCTCTGAGCAGAGGACACCCAGAGGTAACAGGTAATACGTGTGGTGGGTACCCGGGTGGGGGAAGGGTGTAACTACCTTTTTTCACCAGTTTTTAAATATTAAAAAAAAAATCTGTATCTCATTAACCGCTTCCGAATTTTTCGTCAAATATGCTATGCTTTTTATGCCTTAGTAAAATTAGTTGTAAAAAATATCAGAAACTGTTTTCCTCCGGAGCCTGGCTTTAAACCGCGTTAAGAAAGTTAGTCTTGTACGCAGACGTTGAATATTACTCGTTTTATCAAATGATCGACAAATGATATAGTCACCGAAAGCCGATGTCGCCGAATGTTAAAGTCGTCGCTTCATGCTGAGTCGCCAGTGTATATTCGCTGCCGAATAAGTAGTCTCCGCCGCATACCAAATGTGTGCGCCGAATGTATGGGTCGCTGAACGGTAAATGGGCAGGTGAATGCTAAAGCTAGACTCGCAGCTCAGAAAAAGGCACTGTACGCGTTCCATAACTACTATTGGCACCGGACCAATTTTTCCTGACAGGCCAATGGAACTTCGGGATATAGGTATAGAACATTCTCAATTACTGTACTTTACTTCACAATATAATAATACATCAATAAACACATATCTTCTTTTATATAGCATCATCTTTATTTTTCGTTTGACGGTAAGTTTGTATAATACGTATGTGCATCCATTGGGGAAATATATTAAGATAAATAAATATAAATATATTTCCTCCATGGTGCATCCGAGGACGTAGAATTTTCGTCGTCTGAATTTTAGGATGCTCTTTGTCGTGAACCTACGTTATGCCAGAGAACGCAGATTAATCATGGACTGTGAATCTGTTCTAGGCTCACGTTGCTAGATATGAAATTCTCCCTAATTATTTCGTGACTTTAAGTTTTTACCAAATACGTGTATCTTGTCTTTGGATGTTGAGACATTTTATGATGGCATTGAATGTGTAACCAGTACGTGTTATTTATATCTTGGATATACATCATAATAACTTACCGTATTTTAAGTAAGAGTTGAAGTACATTATATTGCGGAAGTAAGATGCATAGCTAGGCCTAATTGAAATTAGATTTCTAATAAAGTACCAGTATTCAGAAACCCACTTGTGTAGGCCTATATGTGTGCTTTGATTTTGCGAACATTTCTGTTAATGTTAGATAATGAACTTCTATACAAAAAGGTGGCTAAGGTAATGTATTAAAACATGAATTTTGTTGCATGCAGGAGCAAAGCGGTAAAATTAAGTTAAAATATTTAATTAAATTATGCCTCCTCCTCATCTTCTTCCTCGTCGTCTTCAAACTCGCCTTCGTCATCAGCAGTGGCATCTTGATACTGTTGGTACTCAGATACAAGATCGTTCATGTTACTCTCAGCTTCAGTAAATTCCATCTCGTCCATGCCTTCACCCGTGTACCAATGCAAGAAAGCCTTGCGACGGAACATAGCGGTGAACTGCTCGGAGATTCTCTTGAATAATTCCTGGATTGATGTACTATTGCCGATGAAAGTGGAAGACATTTTAAGACCACGTGGTGGAATGTCACAGACAGCTGTTTTTACGTTGTTGGGGATCCATTCGACGAAGTAGCTACTGTTCTTGTTCTGGATGTTCAACATCTGCTCGTCAACTTCCTTCATGGACATACGTCCCCGGAAGATGGCAGCGACTGTGAGGTACCTGCCGTGACGTGGATCACAAGCGGCCATCATGTTTTTGGCATCAAACATCTGCTGTGTCAACTCTGGTACGGTAAGGGCGCGGTACTGTTGGCTTCCACGACTGGTCAATGGGGCAAAACCAGGCATAAAGAAATGCAAACGTGGGAAAGGAACCATATTGACTGCGAGTTTTCGCAAATCTGCATTGAGTTGACCAGGAAACCGGAGACATGTTGTCACACCACTCATTGTCACCGATACCAGATGATTTAAGTCACCGTATGTAGGAGTTGTCAGTTTTAGTGTTCGGAAACAGATGTCATACAGAGCCTCATTATCAATACAGTATGTTTCGTCTGTGTTCTCTACGAGTTGATGAACGGACAGTGTGGCATTGTATGGTTCCACAACTGTGTCCGATACTTTGGGTGACGGTACAACGCTGAATGTGTTCATTATTCTGTCGGGGTACTCTTCGCGGATTTTGCTAATAAGGAGTGTTCCCATACCGGAGCCAGTTCCGCCTCCAAGAGAATGTGTTAATTGGAATCCCTGTGTAGAAAAGTACAAAAAAATTAGAAACATGAAAACCATTTTAGGTTTGATCGTATAACAGTAATTATATTTTATAATATTTCTTAATGAGATTAGACTTATTACAACACATTTTGTAATCAGAAAAATATATATGTGATATAATATATATAATATAACTTGTCATTATAGAATCACTTTATCTATTCGAAATGTTATCACAATGTTATGTACAAATGCTAAAATATATGTAAAGTCTGCCAAGTTTAAGATTTTCTGGTAGTTTGTTTAACCAGGAGCGGATCCGGTACATGGTTATTTCAAATCGAAAATTTACATGTTTTATAATGCTGTGCTCCCCCTTTTTGTCCCCTTTCACCAACTTTGATCCGACCTTGATTTAACCCGCATTCGGCTGTACCCTTAAATACACGATTTACCTGAAGACAATCGCAACCCTCGGCCTCTTTGCGTACTACATCCAGTACAGCATCAACGAGCTCAGCGCCCTCTGTGTAATGTCCCTTTGCCCAGTTGTTTCCAGCTCCACTTTGTCCGAAAACAAAGTTGTCTGGCCTAAAGATTTGTCCAAATGGACCCGACCTGACAGAGTCCATCGTGCCCGGCTCAAGATCTACAAGGACACCTCGGGGTACATATTTACCACCTGATAAAGTAATTAGAAAAAGTCGTATTAACTAAGATAGTTAATCATTAACAAAATATGTATAAATAATGAATTCCAACCGACGTTAGGATGATGCCGCTATGTATGTACATGTACATTTTTTACTTCAAATATAAAATATGTGTGACTGTGAATATGAATATCTAACAGCGAATTACGACAGGAAATGTGATACCACATAAAATTGGAAAGATGCCATTAGAAAGCCATGGTCGCCATTATAGAAATAAGTTTATATGAGCTACTTTTACCTTTCTCTGTATTATTTTATTTCAACATCCAACAAGCAGCAAAAATTTACAAATTTACACGATGTAGATTATTAATATTTTATATTGGCCTCAAATATTTAGAATATTAATAGTTGTATATAGTATTTACCTTTTGTGAGTGAAGTATTTAGCATTTACTGTATCTGGTTTCCGGAGAATATCATATTGAATTGTGCATATAATTGTTGAAACAGATATGAACATAGGCTTACCTGTTGCTTCGTTGTAGTACACATTTATTCTTTCCAGCTGAAGGTCGGAATCACCATGGTATGTACCTGTTGGATCAACGCCATGCTCATCAGAAATTACTTCCCAAAACTGAAAAACAAAAACCCATCACAATTGTTTTTTATGACTGAATAACAATATTTTTATATGTTTAACAATAATATAGTGATGAACAGATAAGAAAACACTATCATCAACAGGGTGCTACGTGGTACATCAGAGCAATAAAACAAAATAGAGGATTCAGCAATAAGTTTGATTATTGTATTACTAGATAGTGTCATCACGCGATGCTCCACGCTCAAGATAAAATTGCCAGAAGAATTATCCTTGGTTGGATTGTATCGGCGATATTATATCTTCGTGCATCCGTGGTCTAGTGGTTATGTCTATCAACTTGCAATAACAACGTGAAATGGCGGTTTCAGTTTCTTTCGGTCGGAGAAACTTAAACAACTTAAAAAGTCCTGGTTCAATTCCTGTCACGGTAACAGGATTTGTTTTTCTCATGACCAAAACAACTCCATTCCCCAAGCTTCACAATGAGACTTAGTTTTTGTAGAGAATCTTGTGTTTATGTTTGTCTTGTGAAGGGATATGACAATTTGAATAGTGATTAAGTTGACTACTTGGCAATTCTTGGCCTTCCTAAAGCCAGATGATAATAATAATAATAATAATAATAATAATAATAATAATAATAATAATAATAATAATAATAGTAATAATATTAATTATAATAATAATAAATAATAATAATACTGTAATAATAATAATAATATTAATCTTTACATCATTGTTCCTTTATTTGAACAGGGTTTCATTAATTATCTGAAATATTATATACAGGCCTTCGTGAATAGTAGAATTGAAATCGACAATTTGTTATTGATTATTCATACAATTAAACTTAGTTCATTGTCACAGGATAGACATGATAAAATAACGTTCCCTATAACTAACGATATTCCCGTTATAGGCCTAATTGCAGGAAAGAAGTATACTGCTTTATAAAAATAATGTTAATAAAATGAATGACTAATTAATAATTAATAGTTATTAGAAATAATATTGGTACAGGAGGTATTGAGTGCAATAACTCTGTATGTCTAATCAGTAACGCAGTTACACAGATACGTTGAAGGGTTTCCACTAACATTTTGGCTAGCAGCAAGGGGCAGTCTTCACATTCTGAGGTTTTGCACGGAAGTATTTAACGGAAATGGCCGTTTCCCCATAAATCTTATAAGTTAATTTCTCGACAACCATTGCAGCATATAATAATAGCATAACCATTATAGGCCTATATACAAGTACACTCTATTCAGACTTATGGCGGCGCTACGGGGGCTGGGAGCTACAGCTCTCCGTCGGGGAGGCCTTGCCCCCCCCCCCCCACCCCCACGTCGGGGAGAAAAACCGTCCGGGAGAAAAAGAAATTCAAAAAAATTATAGGGCCTATGTATTTCGTACATTTAATAGACTCTAAAATCGATTAAATAAGCCTTTGAAACCACTAAATTGTCATATTTTCTGGGGTTTTTAGCGACGCCCACCACACCCACTTTTCCCTCCATGATATAAGCAGTCCTTTTGTGTGTTTTTTTTATTTTTGAATTCACCACAGGCGGTAAATATAACATTACTTTGAATATTCCAAACAAACAAACCACTGCACGTAATGCACTATAATTAGATGAACTGCTGTATCAGATTAGTTAATTAAAATAACAGCATCATCCTAATATGTTATTAAATGCATGCCTAACTATAAATGTGACAATAAAAGATTCTTGTATCCTTTTATCCTCCTTGTAAGAAAATAACTTAAATATTATATTAAATATTTCATATTATTATTATTATATTATCATTTATTGTGTAAAACAAAGTTGGTATTCAACGTTGAATTATTAACAATTGATGTATTTAATATTTTGCTCTTTGAATCTAACTTAATAAAACAAATTGTTTTGTTGTTCCATCTAGTAATATGCAATAGTCGGAGTAAAATGGTAATACAATTAAAAATATCGGTTATGTGTTTTCCTGTAAAAGCTTTTGACCCCTAAATCGAATTTATATCACCTAAGGTTGTAACGAAGTTTAACGGTTTAGAAAATAATTCGATTCAGGGCTAAGCCATTGTAGCAGACTGGCATGGGAGGTGCTGTTCGTGGTATAGCCATATGAGTAAGTTATAATGCAGATTAAATATTAACGAATGTTACATTTGCACAAGCTGGTATAAATTGGGTTTTTTTTTTTTTTTTTGCCATTTACTTACAAATAACATTGCAATTCAACCTCGATGGTGATCAAGGGTAGTTATCAAGTTATATTCCATTGGGTTATAACATGAATACTAGTATTCGTATCGAGAAATCAATAGTAACGTACATCAATATTAATCACGTAGGAATGCCTGCATATGAAATATGGAATCGCATAATTCAATGAGAATCAGTTGACCACCGGTCGATAGAGTGGGGATAGGTGAAGGTTATTGTATACCAAAAGGCGTCAAATTTAGCACCAGTGAATACATTTAAAATAAGAACAGTGATAACCTCATTTCTGTGCTGAGGTAAGCCTATAACTATAGGCAGAGTTATTTTTATAGCAGGATATGCGATCAGTGAGTCACTACAAAACTTCTCTTTAATGCTATCAACAGCCATAATATAATTCGCATTATGCACGAAATGTGCTTGATATTGGCTTCAAAAAAATATTACCATTTTATTTGAGTAAAACATGACAGAATCAGACAATAACTTTCAAGCCATTATCATTAACATTAAATGGTATTTAAGAATGTAAAAAATTATTCTACCTTAGATCCGATTTGGTTTCCACATTGTCCAGCTTGCAGATGTACAATTTCCCTCATGATGTTTTATTATTCTTGTGTAGGGCCTATTGATAAGACTTACAGGGTGATTCAGGTTTGGCGTCCGGACTGTGTCTTTTGGTTTCCCGGTATGGTACTCAACGACGCACCCTGCTTTTATACTGCCTATCCTACGATTATGCAAATCCTTTAGTATGGAGCGCAGCGAGTGTCAATTTTTTTGTCACATACATTGACACACAACATAGCAATTGCTCATATGATAATTATGATAGTGATGATGATGATAATATTAATAGGCCTATGATGATGATGATGGTGATTATGATGATGATGATTGTAATGGTAATAATAAAAATAATACAATAATATAACAATAATGATATAATAATAATAATAATAATAATAATAATAATAATAAAATATAATAATGATGATGATTATGATGATGTTGATGGTTATGATATTAATGGTTGTGTAGATGTGTTGATGATGACGGTAATGGGTACTTTAAATATACTGTAAGTACTTTGTTAATTCAAAATTCATTTTCAAATTTAGATAAACTTGATTCATTTATTCTATTGTCAAAAAGTATACTTTAGTTGACAAAGGGACTACCTTTTGCAAAATGAATAAATAGTAAAATCGACATCGAAAAAACGGTTATTATATTTTATTATCATAATTTTGCTTTTGCGTTTCATAACTAGTTTTGAAAGCAATGACTAGAAATTGATTTGTAAATCGTTTGTACGAGCCTCAGCTCTAATGAGCCATGGTACCTCACAATCTGACGTAGGTCACTCGCAGGACGATACTATCGTTATACAGTAACAGCTTGCGCTCCAACCTCTGTAACTTGAGCACAGATGAATGCAAACGCAATTGTCCGTAAAGAGATGAACAGAAAGTTTCGCAAGAGAGCATGTAAAAAAAATAATCCTTTTTGTTTAAATTCCTATAAACCGAAATAATAATTTTATAATACCTTGTTATCAAATGCTGATGGTAAAGACAGTGTATCCGCGTATTATATGTAATATAATACGCACAATCCTTCGACAACCTCCTTTACTTAATTTACTTGCTATTTCATAAGAAAAAAATATATATTTCTATTGGAGATGTAATAGACCTAGTAATCACTGAAGTTAAAAAACAACGTTGCTAAGCGTTTCAAATTCTATAAAAGCGTCGTGAGGTAGTACGTCGGCTAACGTGTCAAATATAACTGTTAATTAATTATAATATTAATTTTAGAATCAGGCTTCGATACTTCAACTGCTGGCTTCCATTACTTGACGGGCGGTGGTGTTTATGCTGTGAGGTAAATCACACTAGGTTTCTGCATTTTGGAGCTGGCATTTCGGTTTGGCAACCTACATCAGTTTAAGTACCAATCGATTTATATTTCTCGCGTCAAGCCTTATAAATAATAAAATCAATTAAAAAACAAAGCCAAAAATATAAAGTGTTTGATATTTACAAATAGTGTTTCAAATTTGGTAAACATCAATTCAGTTTACAATTCATCACCTTGAAGGTGCCTATGCATGAAAAATTTAGTTATCGTCTGCGAGTCTACTCTAGGGTGGCATGCTTGTACAAGCACATATATCTAATTCTTCTTTATACTCTATTACTACATCAACATAATTTTATATATTTATTATATATTCATCAGCTTCCAGGGGCAGTATCCAGGAATGTCATGTAGCGGAGTGGAGTGGATAC